GACTGAAAGCAGCGAATGTAGAAAGGTGCTATGATTGCTCGTCTGACTCGATAATAGTCCTAGTCTTGTTGAGCCTTTGCTTGACGGCTTGTAGATTCCCCGTCACGGAGCTCATCTCTGAGTCTATAAGTAAAGCCTGGAGGTACGAATCCTCAGCGAGGTCGTAGCGAGCCCATCGCTGGTACAGTACACCTGAAATTGAGCTTGTTGAGAGTCATCAGGAAGAACAGAGGAAGGATTGAAGGGAATCGGGTGACAGTAAGCCAAAAGAAAGCTGCCAAAACCTATGCAACATAAGAGATCACTGTAGTGCTTACCTAAATTAGCATGATAAATGGCATTGTGTGGATTGAGCTGGGCTGCGATTTTCAAATGACGTTCGGCCTCCACGAAACGGGCAGTTTTTCCCAGACACACTCCTATCTGGAAGGCAAGTGAGGCCGACTGGTGCACCACCTCGTTCTGAATGTTTTTAGCCATGGTCACCACTGTGTTGCATTCCTCACGCTCGTCCAGTGCTACGAAGAGGTTGGTCAGTGCCTTGGTGTGATGGGGATCGAGTCTGAAAAATGTCGTGTTCCTACGCAAGAGTGTTGTGTCAAAGGAGAAAGCAATGGGGAAACTTACGTTGTTGCCCTCTTCCAAGCCTTGAGTGCATCCTCAGTCTTTCCCATTTTCTGGTATAGGTTTCCCAAATTGAAGAAGCAATCGGCACTGGTTGGCCGCACTTGGATGGACTTATCAAATGACTTCAGTGCCTCCTGAATCGTAAACGCATACTACTAACTTAGCGTTGTGGTATAGTGGCAACTTGCCATTTTAATGGAACTTTTTTTTGGTTATGAAAGAAATTATCAGTAGCTCTATCACCTCGGCGGTGTCATTCTTTTCCAAAATTGAAAGGTCGCCCTATAACTGAAAACCTGAACGGGCTCATTGGTAGGGCCACTATTGAGCAAAAGCGGGTCATATTCCTAGGGGTGCGCTTCGTAGAAACTAGGTCACGCCGCACCCGTCGCATGCGGCGGGTCAGCCCGCGATACTTGACGGACGTCGCAGT